TATTTCACCAGATATGTCCCATATATTTCACCAGATATTTCCCATATATTTCACCAGATATGTCCCATATATTTCGCCACATATTTCCCATATATTTCACCAGATATGTCCCATATATTTCACGAGATATTTCCCATATATTTCACCAGATATGTCCCATATATTTCGCCACATATTTCCCATATATTTCACCAGATATGTCCCATATATTTCACCAGATATTTCCCATATATTTCACCAGATATTTCCCATATATTTCACCACATATTTCCCATATATTTCACCAGATATTTCCCATATATTTCACCAGATATGTCCCATATATTTCACCACATATTTCCCATATATTTCACCAGATATTTCCCGTATATTTCACCAGATATTTCCCATATATATAATTCACCAGATATTTCCCATATATTTCACCACATATTTCCCATATATTTCACGAGATATTTCCCATATATTTCACCAGATGTTTCCCATATATTTCACCACATATTTCCCATATATTTCACCAGATATTTCCCGTATATTTCACCAGATATTTTCCATATATTTCACCAGATATGTCCCATATATTTCACCAGATATTTCCCATATGTTTCACCACATATTTCCCATATATTTCACCAGATATTTCCCATATATTTCACCAGATATTTTCCATATATTTCACCAGATATGTCCCATAGTTACTAACCATTTACTGGGTGATCCAAGTGGTCACATTATGTCCGCCTTGCTTCCGACGGGCCGTTGCTGCTCATTTCGCAGGCCGCTGTTCCGAAAGCTGGGCGAACTGGGGCTCTTGGGCGTCACGGTGCCAGAGGCGAACTGGGACTGCCAGAGGTTTCCTAAAATAGGGGTACCCCCAAATCTCCATAGTCGCTTTGGTCCAAAGGTCATCACTGGCCATCCCAATAATCGTTGAATGTTATATAATCGATCTAGAAATGTTAATCTAATCATCTACCCTCTGGTAAACTGTTACATAACTATGGAAAATTACCATAGAAATAGTGAATTTTTCCATGAAAAAACTGTGATTTTCCATAGTTATGTAACAGTTTACCAGAGGGTAATCCATATCTAGTCCAACTTTTCGATGCTTATTGATGGTTATTGTTTTTTGATGGTTATTGTTTATTCGAATATCCAAGCCCCAAACTGTGAAAAGCAATCTTAACACTTTCACACTTAACACTTAAGTTGGATCTTACTTTTGATCTTACTGGTGCTTAGTAGGGAATGGATGGGAATGGATGGGAATGGGGGAATGGGGGAATGGGGGCCAGTAAGTAATAGATAGGTATATCTAAGGCATATCTACGCATGTGCAGTATATATATAATATACATTCATAGTCGTTCTTTCGAACATTTTTCACAGGTCAGCTGAAAGATGCCGTTCACCACGTGTCTCGTGGCTCAAGATCACATGGCAGACATCGCTCAGGTAGTGTTCGGATCCAGCCATATCCTCTCCTTTTGTTTAGGGGCCATTTGCTGCTTGTTTTGGTTTGGGGGCTTCTCTTCTAACTGTCCTGATTGCACTGTGACCTGCGGATCAATTACTTGTCCCCCGGTTACCTGCTCGACCGGGCATTTTGACATCGGCCCTCTTTCCATTGCCATCATTGCCTTCTCAATCCTGATCAGCAGCGTGACCCGATATTTGTCTGCAATCTCAAGTGACTCAAGTGGCAAGACAGATTCGACCTCCCAACTCACCAAGCCTGCCGCTTTAGATGGCCGCAGGGCCCTTGGCACAACCACCAGTTGGAGACCTGACCCCAGGGACGCGCCTGCTGGTGTGCTACGAGGGTGAGCGCACATGGCACGTGCGATACTTGTTGGCCTTGGTAGATCGAGATTCATGGATCATTGTGACACCAGACGCAGACATATATGTGGAAGTGGTTTCCGACGGAAACAGCGACTGGAGCGCATGGCGCTTTTGGCCTGCAGGAAGCCCGGCGCCTTATGGAGTGGACGCCAACCTCATTTATGGCTTTCGTCCCGAGCCAGACGCAGCAACTCTTCAAGCCCTGTTGGTCGAAGGCCAAAGGCATGCTCAGCAAGAGCGCATTCGGCTCGGTCTTCCTGCTCAACTGGCCGGAGCTGGTCAGCCTGGAGGAGCGCCTGCCGGCGCTGCAGCTGCTCATGGTGCCGTGGCGAACTTGGCGGGGGTGCCTGCCGCTCAGCTTGCTGGCAATCAAGGAGGTTGCGGGCATGCTCAGCTTGCAGCTGCTCTTCAAGCCAATGGAGGTGGAGATCCTGGCGACGATGCCCGGACCTTACCAGTCTCAAGAGACGGGGATGGGAACCGCTACAAAGAATTTCGCCAAGCAGTCCTCCAGTCAAAGCCCATGGAGTTTGCAGACTGGCCAGTGGGCGGGCCCAGGACCACGAAACATGTGTTGCTACAGATGTTGGACCATGGGGGCTCAGCCATTGGACACCATCAGTCCTGGAGAGTCGCATGCCGCTTTCAACCCACAGACGGGCCAGCCATGGAACACGAAGCATGGTGCAAAGTGCTTCACACCTTGGTCACATACGACCAGGTGGACACGACCAACCTGGCTGGGGTGGAGCTCATTGCCCGAGCCATCCAGAAGATCGAGGAGAAGCACAAGCACAAGCTCAGTGCCGTGGACGATGCAGGAGAGACGGCATTGTTCATGGGTGCCACCAATGGCAGCCGCCAGGGATTGGTGATCAGTCCAAAACTCACCGAATGGATTGGGACAGAGATGCAGAAAGAAGCGATGATTGCCAAGGAAAGACGCAAAGCCAGGGAGGAGCGTGCTCTCTCACGAAAGGGAGAGAAGGACAACAAAAAGCCAGAATGAGGAGCCGTTCATGCGGAGGCTCAACTCTGCTGAAGCCCTTGCTATTGCTTTCCGTTTTGTTTTGCATGCCTTGCGGAGTCCTGGGCAGAGTAGCTGACTTTCGTCAACGTAACATCTTCCCCCTGCCGCAGATCTCTGGAAACACCGAGTCTGAGCCTTATCTTCATCAGGAGTGGCAGGACTGGGCAAACCGGGGTATCAAAGCACTCAATGAACTTTCTGGGTGCGCTAATTCACAATTTTCCAAAAAGAAACCTACGCGTGCTCAGCGTAGGGTTATTGACAGCATTGCCAAAGCATACAGGGATGTTGGTGGTGATTTCAGCCTTCATGATCCTCCAGGTCATTCATGTTTGCAAGAGCTTTGCACTTCGTCACACCTGTACGAGACGGACAGAAGTGATGTTCAGCCGTATGCCAGGGAGAAAGTCTCCTGGCCTGAGGTCAAGAGCCACCCAGTCCCTTTGGAAGGCTGTTTGCCTCACGCTGACCGAGAATGGCTTGCGGCTTGGCAAGAACAGATGCTTAGACCAATGGATTCACATAGTGTTGAGAAGGTTCAGCCGTACACCGATCCTATTTTGAAACACAATCAAGGCGAGTACATTGGTTTTTTGAAGGAACTTCAAGATCGAAACATGCTTCGTTTTCAGCGAGCTGAAGGGCATCCATTTATGTTGGGTATTTTCTTTGTGCGTAAAAAATCTGGTAAGCTGCGGTTGATCTTTGATACCAGGCTCCTGAACCAATACTTCAATGATCCCCCCAACACAGATCTTCCCTCAGCTGATGCTTTTACAAGACTTGAAACATGCGAGAATGCGAGTTTCTATGCTGGGTCTGGTGATCTATCAAACGCTTTTTACACTCTTTCAGTTCCTGATGACCTTGCGCGGCGATTTACCTTGCCGGCAATTGAGGCTGGAAAGCTTGGCTTGACCCACCTTGACGGCGAGATTGTTGGGCCAGGGACTAAGCTTTGTCCCTACCTGACCGTCTTGCCGATGGGGTGGAGCTGGGCACTCCACTTTTGTCAAGCAGTCATGATGAATGCCATTGAGATTTCTGGGTTTTCTGGTGATCGGATTGTTGGTGACAAAAGGGCCCCTGTTCATCTATCAGATCTTCACACCACATGCGCAGCTGGATATGTTGACAATTTCCTCGTGCTGGGGGGTGACCGTGATGCCGTTGACTCAGGCCTGCAGAAGATTAGCAGCACCCTGAGAGGCATCGGTTTAACAGTGCATGAGGAGGTTCCGGCATCTCTCAGATGCGACTTTGTTGGGCTTTCTTTTAATGGTGAGCAGGGTCTCATTAGTATCAAACCTAGCCGTATCCACAAACTCAGTCGAGCAATACATGAGCTGCTTTTGCGGAACTTCTGCACTGGAAAGCTCCTTCAACTCATTTTGGGCCACGTGACTTGGGCTTTGATGTGTAGACGCGAAGCGCTTTCAGCTATTAATGCTGGATATGCTTTTGTCAATATGCACTACAACACACCCACTAGGTTGTGGCCAAAGTTGAGACAGGAGCTCTTTTGGATCGCAGACATTTTACCACTTTGTCGGGTCAGGGTCAATGTTGGGTGGTCTTCCGATGTTTGCGCTAGTGATTCTTCACCCTTTGGATATGGTATTTGCCAGAGGCACATAAACCCTGACATTGCTAGAGCAGTTGGCCGTCAATCCGAACGATGGCGCTTCCGATTTGAGGATGCTGTCGACGCCAGGAAACATGCTGCTGACAGTGTAGGTATCACTAGCCTTGATGAGAAGCCCCAAAATGTCAGTGACTTCAAACTTGATGAGGTTATCAATGAACTTAACAGCGGCAACAATTTTCATGAAGTTCCCCACAGTATTCTGAAGAAAGATGACTGGACAGTCGTTTGGTCGCATCCGTGGAATCATGAGGGTAACATACTTGAAACTGAAGCTCTATCACTTGTTTGGGCCATTGAACATTGGTAAACGTCTTCTCTTCCTCTCCGACAGTCTCCCTTTGACTTTGAGTGCGTGCAAAGGAAGAGGGAGGTCTAGCTTCCTCCTCCGTCCACTTCGAAAAATTTGTGCATTGTCGTTGGCTTGTGACTCAAGGATTCATGTGAGATGGATACCAAGTGAATGGAACTGTGCCGATGGACCTTCGCGTGCTCTCTCGCAGTGGGCCGCCCGTGGGCTTAGCAGATGGTTCACTGACGGTGATGTCAAGAGAGACCGGAGGCGCAGAGGTGGGGTTGGACCATCTCACCTCTCTAGGGCACAATTCCCAGACATTGGACACAAGCAGACGAAGCCAGACTTTGGAGAGGAAGCTCAAAAGAAGAAAGTGTGTAGCAGACAACATGACCGTGCCTATGGGAATGACATATCTGGAAGCAAGGAGTGTCAAACAACCCACTATGGCAGACTACACCAAGAGGTTCCACGAGTTCAGGGCTTGGGCAGATCTTCATCAACTCCTACTCATGAAACCAGAGGATCTGGACCTAGCTCTAGTGGAGTTCTTACAGGAGTTGTTCGACCGCGAGAGGGGTGTCAACGATGGGGTGAGGGTGGTGGCTGCTTGCAAGTTCTTCCTGCCACACATTGCAAAGGGGCCCGGAACCAATCTTCCCAGGGCGAATCGCGCTTTGAAGGGCTGGAATTTGGCCGCACCACCTCAGCAAAGGATGCCCATGCCTCTGGAGGTGATGGGAGCTCTAGTTGGAATCTTAATGAACGAGTTCAAGACCAACATGGCTATCCGGATGTTCTTCCAATTCATCACCTATCTGAGGCCAGGGGAATGCAGCTCTTTGACAGTCAAGCAGTTAGTCCCACCGCAAGGGATGGGCACCCAGCGCTTCAATCACTGGGCCATTCTCCTCCATCCATCGGAGGATCTGATTCCGGGGAAAACCAACATTTTCGATGCGTCGGTGATTCTGGATTCAGACCCATGGCTAGGAGATTGTCTCAGAAGCATGATGCTAGGGAAGAAGCCGTCAGACGCCTTGTGGACAGACTCCCATGCAGAATTTCGAAAAGCCTTCAACCAAGGACTGCAAACCCTGAAGCTAGACAATCTGGGAATGACGTTGTATGCCACCAGGCACGGCGGAGCAACTCACGATGTGCTGTCAAGGAGGAGGTCTCTCTTGGAGGTGAAACAACATGGAAGGTGGGCCAGCGACAACTCACTCAAGCGGTACGTCAAAGAGGCAAGACTGCAGACCGAGGTCGCCAAGGTCCCAGAGCCCATTCGCCTCTATGGCCTGCATGTCCTTCAGCTGCTCCCAGATCTTCTGACTCAGGCGCGCAAAGTTCCAAAACCCCCTGTTGGAATTTCACTGTAACTAAGGGTATGAAGGCCACTTGTTTCAAGAAACCCATTGGCCCAAAAACCCTTAGTGGAGCTGATCTCCTCAGAAGAACTTTTAAGGACCTCATGAGAATTCACAAGCCCAGCTATCGTGGCATTTTTCTTGATCTCTTTTCCGGCAAGGGTGGTATTACTCACTACTTAAGTAAATTTGGTTGTCCTGTCATTTCTGTTGATGTTTGTGTTGATGCCCGGTTTGATTTGTTGAACATTGACGTTTGCAATGTCATTTTTGGATGGATCAAAAGTGGATGCGTGCTTGGCATTTGGCTTGCCACGCCTTCTACAACTTGGAGTCTTGCAAGGCATGGGCCAGTTGGAACTAGTTGGGGCCCCCTCCGCAGTAACCAGCACTTGTTTGGTGTTCCGGGTCTTAGCCCAACTGACCAAGCCAAAGTTCGACTTGGAAATTCCACTTTTAGGTTCACATTCAATACCATCAAACTTGCCATCCGTTTCAAAATCCCTTGTTTCCTTGAGAACCCAGCCCAGTCAATGATGTGGAAGGTGCCCCGCCTACGCAAACTTTGTGATGTTCCCTGTTCTCGTTTGTTTGTTTGTGATTTTTGTCAGTTTGGTTCACGCTGGCGTAAACGCACCCACATTCAAAGCTGGTACAGCCAAGACTGCAATGAACTCAACTTTACATGCAGTGGCCGTGGGGGGAAATGCAATGCCACAGGCAAATTTCACATTGTCCTGAAAGGACAAGATCGTATCAGCAAGCAACTTTGGACCCATTTGGCTCAGCCTTATCCACCAAAATTTGCTGCTACGTGCGCCAAGCTCTTAAAGCATAGTGCTGACCAACTCCATACGTTTTTCCTTGGCAAACATTTTGGCATTTAGACCGCGATGTTGCCTGTTCTTCGGCCTTCGGCCACATGTCAAACTATGGAACTTTGACTAACTATGGCCTGGGCAAGGGCAAAGCCACACGTGAAGTTGTTTCTTGGATGGGTCGCTGAAATTCGACCAATCTGAACCATGGCTTGCCGTACTTGCTTGCCCCAGACTTGCAAAAGTGTTCCTTCTGGCACTTGGGTGCTGTCATGTGATAGTCGTTCTTTCGAACATTTTTCACAGGTCAGCTGAAAGATGCCGTTCACCACGTGTCTCGTGGCTCAAGATCCCGCCCGGCCCGGCCCTGAAACTGGGTCTGGGCAAGGGCAAAGCCACACGTGAAGTTGTTTCTTGGATGGGTCGCTGAAATTCGACCAATCTGAACCATGGCTTGCCGTACTTGCTTGCCCCAGACTTGCAAAAGTGTTCCTTCTGGCACTTGGGTGCTGTCATGTGATATACATGTATTGTCATGTATTATATACATACATTTATTGTCAACATTGATTGTCATCATACATGAAGGATCATACATATATACATAGTCATTCGATATATATATACTGTATATACGATATAAACATATATGAATATAATCAATGATGACATCACATCTTGCATGACACCAGGCGTATGCCGGCAGTGGCATGGACGCTACGGCAGCTGTCATTGTTCACGAGGAGTCGAATTTTGCACGGGGGAATTCATGCGATTGGTTTTATGAATGCAATAACCTATAGGCTCCATGTATGGTATATTTACCTACATTTGGGTGATTTTTAGGGCACATATCCCTATCAGAATCCATTTACGAACTAGTTACTAGGTCAATCTTACATGGATACTGCTTTAATCCTTTAGTCTTTTGGTATCAATGGGATTATCTAGTAACCAGCAAAGAATTTGGCATATTAAGATTGGCAATGTAATGGGGAGTATAATGGGGGGTATAATGGGACATAACCCATGTATATTGTCGTATAATGGAGTGCATCATGTGATACAATGAGATATTTCAAGCGGAACAATGGGATCCAGGATGTAGTTAAATTTGATGGGATGTGTGATGTGGATGTATACCGGTATAAGAATATGGGATATGATCAGCATTGGATTTACGATGGGGATGTAAAGCCGGAATTTACGGGGGGCTTAAGGGGGGCCTTAAGGTCTGAAGGTGCTTCAAGGAGGCTTCGATTGGGATTAATTCACCACTTGGGTGGCATTGATATCGTGGCCAAGTGTTCTTCCTCGAGATCGAGATGAGCCCACTGCCTTGGCGATGTCCCCTCCAGATCCTCTTCAACACGCCAAGTGAGTCCGGGGTAGTTTTTTTTTGTGGATGTCTAACCATCCACTTTTTGGTTTGTCCGTCAGGGCCCTGGAACCCAGTCGACCTTTATGTTGTTATTGCCATCCCTGCCTCAAGGACCCAAGGGCAAACATCATAAATCCTCCCCTTCGCATGAGTTTTTTTTCCGCCCACAGGGTGTTTTTTCCTTGTGCCATGGGGATTTGTATTTGCCTGATGATGGGGAATTAACTATCTACGATGGGGATTAACCAATGGTACTTATTATTATGCGGGTGTGTCTGAACATGGGGTATCCCACCCAAACAGCAATATTTACAGGGAAATGGATGATTAACAATGATGAAGCTGCAAATTTACGGCTACCAGATTCCAGACACAGCCATATATCAACAATACAGTATCCATTGAACTCGACTGATATCTGGTGAATTAGGCTGTTTTTGTTGCTGATGTACCCTTGAGTTGGTTACTCTGACAATCTAATCTGGTTTGCTGGAAAATTGTGCGCATTTGGAATCCTGTATTTCCCATCAACAAATTACTGTAGCATGTTCCATTGCAATGTGTCAAATTACGGGAGTGTACCCAGAAGTGGTGCACTTGAATGGTTGTTACTGCGCATCTATTCGGTGTAATTCATCGCGACTGCCGGAAATTTGAAACTGACTAGACCATGTTGGTTGCTTGAAGCCTTAAATGTTTCTTAGAAACTCAATCCAGGTTGGAGGGAGAATCTGTGCTTTGGCTGCTAATTTTTCTGATTAAGATGTTCCCAAAACAGCCACTGGGCCAGCCTTTAAAAAGACCTCAATCTCCAGAGGAATGCCCATCCCGCAAGCAGTAGGAGTTGGCTTCAGCGGACCCTGGCTTTTGCTTAGCCTATTTGGTTTGGAGAACCCAGACGTGTGCATGGCTGTGCCACTAAAAAAAAGGTTATGCCGAAATTAGTATTCCAATAAACCGCACTAGTGGGCGATAATCTTGTGATTATCCCAGCACATTTCCATGAAACAAATACTAGGTCAATCTTACATGGATACTTTAATCCTCTAGTCTTTTGGTATTAATGGGAATATCCACTAACTAGCAAAGAATTAATTTTTTGCAGGGTATCTGGCTGATTGGCAATGAATAAATAAAGGTCGTTTCAAGGTTTCGACCAGTTCTTGATGGTTTACTGTGATACCTTCTGGTAATCAAGCCTGGCAGCAGGAAATCCTCCATGTTCGATGATGTACCCTCTGGTTATGACTAACATAGCCATGGAACATCCCTGAAATAAATGGAGGTTTCGTTCGCTGGGAACATCATCTATAAATAGGCCCTCATTTGGAGGTTTCCTTAAATGGGGGTACCCCTGAAGCATCCATTTCTAGATCGGAATTTCCATGAAATTCCATTATAAACCATCCAGCTATGGGGATATTCCTATAGGAAACCACAATATCATGCTTGTGAACCATTTTTAACCATTAGTAATCACTACTAACCACTATTATTCACTATTAATCACCATTAACCACTATTAATCACCCCATTTTTAAGAAACCTCCATTTCGTTTTTGGATTTCGAGCTAGCCATATGTTTGACGACACTGGACGACACTGTTTGACGAAGCCGACCTGGTCGCCCCGCAGATGTTTAGATTTTGCGGTGTCTGAGATTGATCCCAACATTTAATGGTAACAGTTACTGCATTTTTGGATAAATATGATATATATATATTGATATATTATATATAACTGGATTAGTTATGTGGATAAATATGATATAACATCCATCAATGAAGCAGTTCCAATTGTTTTGTGGGGCCTTTTTCACCATTGTAAAATGGCATGGGACCCCATCTCCCAACTTTGGATTGAAACTACCATGGTTAGATCATGGTTAGATCCATTGGATCCATGTCTTCCGGTAATCAAACGCCTTAGGTTTCGATCCATTAGATCATGGTTAGATTCGAACATCGTGAACATCGTTTCCCATCTGCGCCTTAGGTATATAAAAACTTACATTACTGGGTGATTTTGGACAAGGGCAAATGTTGGGATTTATAATTCCAGCACCATGGTTCGCATATGGGTGTATGATGTTGCCATTCACACCTGCATTTAGCGGATATTTCCCAGCTAGCAACGTTTGATTATTGGAGGGTAGATTCATTATGAATAAGCTGAAGTACCCTCTGGTAAACTACCATAGCTATTGAAAATGGTCATTTATAGTGGATTTTCCCATTAAACATGGTGATTTTCCATCGTTTTTTGTATGTTTACCAGGCCGGGTAGATTTTCAAGTTCTCCCAAAGGGTTCCTGGTGGAATGGCAGCCTTCACGGGAACTACCGAGTTGGAGTTGGGAATTTTGGGACCCGGAAAATCATGCTGCGTCTAAGCGTCCAGTGTGCGGAAACAATATTGAGCCTTTTGTGTTCCTTTCCCAGATTCTGGGTCCCTCGAAATGCTCAAAAAACATTGCCAGCATCTGGAGTCTGATCTTGATTTGATTTTTAGCAGGACTTGTTTCCCACCGAGTGTCATGGATTCAAGCAAACACAGCCCGAACAGATGTTTGGGATCACTGTACGGAAGCTCTCAGTGCGGTGTCTTTTTGCTTCTGCTGATGGGTGCAGCTGCCAAGGCCCATAGCATGCTCTTTGTGAACAACTTGGCTCAGAATGGCAACGAGGCTCCGGGTGAAGCATGGTGAAGCCACATGTGTCAAGGGCAAGGCTGACGCAAGGGGATTGAACATAAGATGAATTTCAGAATTCAATGTGGAGAACGGCAGTGGTATATCCTGGTTGGTGGTTTTAAACATGAATTTTATTTGTCCATTTCATATATGGGATGTCATCCGAAACCCATTGACTTTCACTCCATCAATTTTCAAGATGGGCACAGAAAGCACCACCAACCAGATGATCATTAACCATCATTAACCATACAATAACCATATAATAACCATATATTAACCATAATCATATAATAACCATATATTAACCATAATCATATAATAACCATATATTAACCAAAAATGGTCAACCAACTCCATTGTGATATATTAACCATTATCACATGTTTTTCTCATCCGACAGAATGGAGTTGGTTGACCATGCTTGAGCAGAGTTCAGCAGACTCCTGGCATATCGCACCAACGAAGATCCCAAAGGCAGCAGGGCCAAAAAACGTCATAAGCCATCACTGCAACTGGGAATATTCATCCACCAACATGGTTGATTTATGGTTGATTTATGGTTGATTTATGGGGAAATGTGGGATAATGTGGGATTTCATGTGGGATATTAAAATGTGATTAACCATAATATCTGGGTAAATTATAACGACCGAACCCTGTCCTCCCTCACTATAATCATAGTTAGGGGAATGATCCCCGAATGGCCGAACTATTCAGGTTAGTGAAATATTATAATTTACAGTACCCAGATTCATCCACCAACCACTATTTTGGGGATTACGTTCATTGCTCAAACGCGAGTTTTCCGGCGTGTGCAAGCCTTGCAAGTCGTTTCAGAAGCCCATCTAACATCATGTATATAACTAGATTAGTCGAAATTGAAGACCCAAAGGACCATAGATTTTAGTGCATGATTAGGATAGAGTATAAACATTCTATTTACTGGGAACCATAAAGATAAGTATATTCCCATAACTTTAGTTATCTTATCTATAAACCAACTGAAGCCCATCTTGCAGGGGCCCCTTTTGTGGCTTTGTCTGACAATAGGGTACCCCACATTGTTTTTGACACAAATTCACTACTTGGTGGTTCACTTCAGTCGGTATTTTTTGACCCTAGCAACTTGATATACCCTCTGGTAAACATACAAAAAGCTATTCAACATGGCCATTGATAGTGGATTTTCCCATGAAAAATGGTGGATTTTCCATAGTTTTTTTGTAAGTTGACCAGAGGGTAACTTGTGTAAGTAGGGGCAATGTACATTTCTCACTGGGCAAACATAACACATAACCCATTTACTAACTAACTAACCACCAAGTATTACATGGCTGTCGAGAGTGTACCTTAGTATCGGACAATCCTGCATTGCAGTGGGGTTCAAGCTCATGTCAACAATGTCAGCCCATGTTATGATCGCCATTAAATAACCTCAATATCCATATAGTATCACCATTGGTTTAAGGGACATTTTACAGGAAAGCCCCATGATCTGCATGGTAATTTCATGGTAAAAACCATCGTTTCCGGGGTTAAGTTTTCCCTTAACAAAACCAATCCATTGACATATGGAAAATCAACATTTCTTCCCATTTTTTTCATGGTTGGATTCCATGAAATTCCATCCCAACATGTCCCCGTGTGATGCAAACCAACTATGGGGTATCAGCAACACTATGTCCCATTAAAATCCAGTAAATTCCTTGTAAATCCCATCAACATATATAAAACATATATAAAACACCAAGTCAAAAACCAACTGACATGTGTCAGAATTCCATCATCAAAGTAAGTTTAGTTTGCAAACTTCTCAGTTACGGACGAATGTCCATGTCAGTTTTCACATCATGGCGCAAGTGGAAACATTTCATGACGGCAACAAGTCGTGCATTGGCGTGTGAAACATAAAAATGTGCGAACCAGCGTGTTTTTACAGGTATGGTGGCTGCAGGGGTCGCTGACGGAGGGTCTGTGTTTCTGCGGATCCGAATATGCCACATGAAATGTCAGAGCACATGCCAGAGATTGCCAGGGTATATGTATATATATATATATATTAATATGATTATGTCTGTCAGAATGTGTCAGATATTGTCAGATACTATTCCAGATAGAATGTCAGATAGACTGCCAGATTGGACGCCAGATAGAATGTCACCTCGAACGCCAGAACACGTGTCAGGTAGAGTGTCAGAATATATGTCAGATGAACTACATGTCAAAACATACTGATGGAAGAAATCCTGCACCACCCTGGATGGTTGAAACATGTTGAAAGCCTATAAATAATGGGATTTTGCCCA